ATAAGCGCAGGACCCATCAAGATACAGGAGGAACTTTGTCACATTATCCAGAACAATTAAACAAATGTACAGTTTATAAAGAAGAATCAAGAGCTTGTGCTGCAAGTTTTGCTTATTTTCTTTTAAATAAGCAAGCAAAAGCTAAAACGGCCCGGCTGAGTGTGTGAAGAACAATTAAAAAGCACAGCTGAGCTAGCATTTTCAGTCTAAAAGCTGGCTTCCACTCACTCTCCCATTGGCATGGCCCCAAAAAGTTAAAAACGAAATAGGGCTATACTGAAGCAATTTCAAAACCGAAAACAAAATGGTCCATGGTCAGAAAAGCACATCTGCATATGAGGGGTGAGAGATGCTGCCTCAGGATGTGGGATGTACATGTAACCAAAGCGTCACCTTAAATACATGTTAGAAATAAAAGCAACAAGGTAATGACCTAAAACCTCCTTCAGGAATGAGCTATGGAGGGGACATATATGGCAAATATTCGTTTCCTTTCAAATGATAGATGGGTGCTGCTGATGGCTGAAAGTGTCATTGCCAATGTAAAAAGAGCCCAGCTGTAAGGACTGAAAGCTGTGTTCAGGCTGCGCAGTTTTATTTTTCTAAAGCGTTTTTATATTGTTTCCACTCAAGCTATCAATCATGACTTTTATTAAACTGCAAAACAGACGTCAGATCAATGGCTGTGTTAGACACATTTTGAGTGACAGGCTGATGATGGAACAATTCCAGCATCCATATATTATTAAATACACACTTATGCTATTCTTTCAGTGTTTCCATACAGAGCAGACCTACTCCCTATGCTGTCTCAGTAACGTATCATTTGAAGGGAAGAGCTAATTGTGGATAAATATTATATAAGGAAAATGAGGCTTGCTAGAATATATGCTAAGGTTATAATAAACTAGGAAAGGAGAGGAACATTCAGGGTTAAACCCGGCTCTCTATCCTTAGGTTAAGCCTTTGGGCCTTCCTTTTTAATCTACTGGCAGGAGCTGAGGAGGGATTGTCAGCCTTAATCAGAATTTTTAGGGTTTTCTCACTTTGTCACAATTGTGACCTTATTTAGGCTTAGATTTCCTTTACTTGCACAGTCAGCACACCTATGCAAATGTTTCCTGCTCTTTTTGAGTGAAGAGGTATGTACAAAAATATATATAAATAAGGCTGAATTGTGCCCTCTGGGTTATTCTCTGTTCAGTTCCTGATTCCAGGCAGATATGTGCAGGTGATCCAGGCAGCACAACTACCATCAAATTTGTCACTATCAATGAGTATTGAGGTTCAATGTGGATAAAGCACAGAGCATGGGGGGGGGGGAGGTGAGAGGGGTGAAATCTACACCTACAACTCAGGGTAAGGCTGCTGTGGAGCCCCCCTCAGTAGTCTCTTCTTCCCAAACTATACCTGCCTATGAGCTGGAGTATTTGCTGTAGCTCTGTGCTTTCCATGGGAGGGGAACTGGGACCAGTGGATCTGAGTAAACAGAGATTTACAGTCACTCTCCTGGCCCACCACCACTATGGCCTCACATGTAATACCTCTTGTTATAGTATTCTGTATAAGATATCTAAATAAATAGTTGATCATTAATACATAAGGTGCTAGTGGATGGTGCTCAAGAATATGGGGTATCTTTCCTGGGTTTTTAAGACCAATAAAACTTCTTGTTGTTCACTGCTTATGGCTTCTTGTACTCATCAGTTTACATGCAGCCCCTTACACTACTTGGACTCAGTGACAAGATATTTTCCATAGTACATAGGGATGCTAGTCACTTCAGGATTGTTGTTTTCCCAGCAAGCATCAGGCCAGCCCTTAATTGGAGCTCAATCAATCCAGAGAGCCTTCTGCTGGCCCTCTGCACCATGGGTGAATTTTCCCCATAATGTGGATTTGGCTGCAGAAAGGGTTGCAACCCTGCATTTTGGAAACACACAGTCCTTAGTGAACCAATGGCTTGGTTCATGTTTGTAGCCAGGTTTAGAGCCAATTCTTCACTCGGGCACACCCTGGATGGCTGTTTTGCCCGAAACGTATTTTATGCTGGTTAAATGGTTTGTCTAAGGAAGTAAATGTATAAAAGACTTTTAATAAAAAATCTTTGCATATTGAAAGCTCTTAGATTAAATTGGGACAGATTGCTGCTAACACGAAGCAGAATTGTTTGACTTTTTGGCTTGTTTGTTGAAAACAAGCTGGTTGAAAGATATCCAGTGACTATAGCACCCTGTTGCAAACTTTTAAAGGACAAATTTGAAAATATGAGCACAACAGAAATTTTTAATTCACTTTTTAGATTGATCATAAAATGTGATTCAGTTCCGATAATCAGAGTAGCATTCTTTTTTCTAACAGAGCTGGATTCATGCCCTGGGATTCATGAACACTGGTCTAAATAAACTAAAGAACCTTCTCAAACTTCAGAATGTGAGCACTCTTCCTTCTCTTCAGAATGCTAGAATATTGCTGTCAATTAATATTGCACATTCTACAGGCAAAGGTATCATTACATAAAGACTATCTTAAAAGGATATAAAATGACTCATACAATACAATAATAGCAAATATAATACATCTGGTCATGCCACCTTAACCAATTGCAAAATAGCAACCAAAAGGACACTAGCAGCGGTTTGATGTTAGCGTAGATCATTAGTTGGGAATTTCCTGGTTTTATATGAAGACTGTTAGAGGAAAATTTTCTAAGTCATCCAAAGGGTTTACATCTGCACGATTCTCTCCAATGTCAATGAGAGACAAAGGGCAAAAGTCCCGAGAGCTGCTTCAACATACCCTTACTGCACTTTTTAAATACATGTTTAATTCTCTCAGTAAAATGGATCTGTCATCAACAAACTCTAAAGACAACTAAAATGCATCTGGGCATTCCTTGCCAGGGAGCTATCTAACTGGCCAATCAAGGCTTCAATTTTACATACAGATATTCTTACTAGCCACAGTAGCCTCCCTTAGGTTCATGTGTCCAAGGAAAATAAGAAGAATAGTGAGAAAAGCACTGAGATCATATTTCTATTTGTTTGTTTATTGGTGGAAACATATAAAATAGATGGCAAAGAATGATGAACTAGCATATTCAGGCATCCTGAGAGATGAATAAAGTCTGATATAGCAACAAAAATGGGGGAAAAAACACTGAGGTTGGAATTAACTTGAACCAGATCTGGAAGGAAAGATGACACAATAAAGTATGTAAAGTAACAGTATAAGGAAGAAACAAATATGCCACACGCCAAAGAAATCACTGCAAGACTCACAGAATGAACTACCGTGTCATGTTATAGATGGTTAAATTTTTCCTTTAGTTAAAAAAGCTTGTAGTGCTATGAGTGAAATATTAGGAAAAATTCATATAAAGAGTATACTAGATCTTCTATGTAACCGTTAAAAATTAATAAGCTAAGAAAAAAAGGAGCCATGGAAATATTAAAATAAAAAGAATGAAGTATCGGAAACTCAAGTGAGCGGAAATGACCTTGAGAACTCTGAAATTAATAAAACGATGTAGCATATTATCTGAACTTACCGTTCCTGTTGTGCCCAAGGAAAGGTGATTCATCTGTTGGGTCAAAGGGCCCATCATGCTTGCTGGCTGCATTGACATAGTGTGGTCCATTGTTGGCGTTATCACAGCACCCTGCAAATACACATGATTTCCACCTCAACATTTATTTTTTTTAAAGTCATCAATGTTCTTTAAATGAATGAATTTGGCTAATGCTTAATATTAATCTTAAAAGAGACTAATATATCTGTCATGTGAAATATATGTTGTTCCCATTGACAACCAAGACACACATATATATGACTAGTGAGGGTGTATTATGCCAGTTCCAATTAAATGTCATTTTTGGCTTCACTGCTTCTAACAAAAACATATGGTCTGTCTATAGTGAATGCTACTGTACATGGCAAAATGCCTGTCATTTACATTTTCCATATTCTATATGGAACAAGCTTACTCAGAGACACCACACATATGTCCCCAATTTTCCCTGGCTTTTAAAACCTTCAGTCCCTGATATATTCAACCTATAATGGTAATTAACTTGGCTTTTTCAATTTCTCTTAAGAGCTCTTGTTTGTGACATTTTCCAGGTGATTAAGCAAGACTAGCTGTTGACAACCATTATGGGAGCAACGTCTATTTTAAAAATACACATACACAGGTTTTAAATGCACCATTGCATGGCACCAAAGAGGTCAATAATAAACAGGACACAAGGTAAGGCAAGAACAAGACCCTAAACGAGAGAGAGAGAGAGAGAGAGAATGAATGAATGCCAAACAGAGAATTGGTAGGGAGAGCTGCTCTATAATTTTCATCAGCAATCAAAGACCCCATGTCAGAGCACCCATGGCTTTGCCCAAAGCTGCACATGCAAAATTCTACTCCCTGGTGGGCTAGAGAGGTGTCTCAAGAATGGTGCGAGTTGCTCCTTCTTTCTCTGCCAAAGTCTGAACATATTCCATTCCTTGTGCTCCTTAGTAAGGGATGGACAAGGCACACAAACTTGGTAGACCACAACATGGGCTATAAAGATAATTAAGCAAGGGTAAATAATTTCAGATGTTTCCAGCTCTCTCTCAATATGAATTCCACAGTGCACTCTGTGTGTCTGTGAATACATTGTAAAAATGTATACAGACACACTATGAAAGCCATTAAAAAAATGGGGAATTTTTTTGTGACATTTATATGAAACGTTTGTCTCCTTTCTTCATCAAGACCTTTCAAAGTCTGAATATTTTTGACCCAGAGCTATACAGGGGAATTCAGCATTAAGGATAAAAACCCCAATAATTTCTAAAAGCCATTGCCATTGGTTCTCAAGTGACTGCCTCACATTTATTTTGCACGGTTGGAAATCGTTTCTAAGAATGAGAGTGGAGGTGAGGTTTTCCATATTTTCAGCTGCACATAAGAAATAAAACAATTAGGGGGAATGCCAATCAACTTGTTCTGTCCTTGCCAACATTTTTCTTCTATGCTTATGTCTGATTTGAGAATCTCACTGATTCCTGGACAAGTTTGTATTAATCACTAAGAAATAATGCTCAAAAGGGGACTGGCTCAATTGATTGGTCCCTTTTGTAAGATAGTACAGCATGTGGGATACATACACACACACACACACGCTTTATATTACATACCAGACTACATTCATTTGCATTCATGTAAGTCACTAGAGAAATGCAGCAAATGACTCTATACGAAACATAAAATCTCCAAAGAATAGTTGTGATATTCCAGTATGAATTCTTGTAAATATCAATGGGCTTATTAGTGTGCATGTTTCAAATCCGTCTTGTTTGTGCCAATTTTTGCTTCTTATTTTTGGCTGCTGCATTTAGTATTAGCTTTGATGAAACTACAATAGAGGAATTCATTCAAATTAACTGCAATAGTGCCACTATTCACCTTGGATGGAACAATTCGCTCAAAATCAGTTCTACAAACCTTCATCACAGATATTTTCTTCACCAGATCTTGCTCTTCCCCTTTTCCTCCTCACACATAAAATGATATTATTTTCCTTCACCCTATTCTATCTAGAGCCCTAATTGTAACCTATTTTCTTATTATTCTTTCTCCTAACAAATGTCAGAGAATCCATCCTTAGTAAACTTTTTGGGTGTAAGATAAGCCCATTCAACAGTTAATATGAGATTCAAAGCAAGAGTCTGCAGTAGCACCTTGCTCCAGGAAACTGCATTTTGTCCAGATGTTCAGCTTCACACAGGGCCGGTGCAAGGAAGTTTCGCGCCCTAGGTGAAACTTCCACCTTGCGCCCCCTCCCCCCAGCCCTGTGGCAGCTCCCCGCCCCCCTTCCTGAATCTCCCCCCCCCCGTGGCAGCTCCCCCCCGCGAACCGTGCGGCAGCTCCCCACCCCAGCT